CTCTGTCTCTCTCTCTCTCTTTCTCCTACCTGGTTCACCCCTTGATATATCCTCTCACTCTTCAACCATCCGCCACGTTCTCTTTCTCTTTCTCTTTCTCTCTATCAATACTCCGACCTAATCTACTTTGCCAACAAATAGTGTTCACGTTCCCCAGACAATGGTTTTCTCTTAGCTGGATACCACCGTCTACGACTCGACCCACCCCCATGTCCGTGTTCTATTCAATACACCCCCGTAACCTTTTACTTTCTTATGCCGGCTGACTTATTCATGCGGCGCACTGATAATCGGGACCAAACAACGACCGACTGAAGGCTTCGGAATTAATTGCAACCGTCGTTCTGGAGTTGGTTCGATGAAAATGAAGCGAGAGGTGTGTTTTGGCGAAAATTCGGGATACTTGTGGGGTAAATCGTGACTGTTTGCTTTGATATAGACTTTCGCTGATAATGCGTGTGATTTGGTATGTTCGAAGTATTTGGGAATGTTGGAAGTTCTTTATGGTGATGTGATGTTGTTTGAATATTTGGAGTCACTTTGTGTTGGTTGTGACTTGTGTAAATACAACAGAATTATTGAAAGTGTTTTTAGTAAACTTCGAAATGGTATTGCGATTTGGAGAAATTTAGATCGCTGACATACGTGCAGTGCAATTTTATTGGCCACTACTGTAATTCTGTCAACGTCATCGAATTTGCTCTCCTTTAGCTTCATTTTGATTCTGGGGTAGGAAAGTATCACGGAACCAAGGTTTGAGATATATGGGGGATAAGGGTTTGTAGAAATTTATTTGTGAGGAAGAAATGGTTGAGAGGATGGTGTGAGCTAGAGGTTGCCAAGAGAAAGCATCGAAAACTGTGAAATCATTTTCTTGTGGTGAAACGTTAGATAATGGATTCAGATTCTATTATTATTACTATTACTAAATAATTCTATTATTTAGTAATAGTAATAACAATCTTGTTTGAGAGCAAAAACAAATATTTTAATATTTGTCCTTCCTTATCTGAGATTAGCAATCAAGATAATCGAAAGAAGAAATATGATTAAAAATATAAAAAGAAATTTACCAAGTATTAGAATTTAAAAAATTAAATTCAATTGCTCATCAGCACTAATTAAAAAGAATAAGGTTCTTACAATAGGAAATATCCGCAAAATAATTTTGTTGTCAATTAATGAATTTTAGGGTAGAATATCTTTGCTTCAGCATATAATCAAAATAGAAGCGTCCTTTCAGGCATCACGAGAAAATTGTTCGACCTTCACCAGCACAGATCTACTTCATCGGAGCCAATTCTCCAGCTAATTGATTCTCTCTGCTATAGGCGTCGCCTTCAACGAGTGTTAGCAAAATTAATCGTCGAGATGTGTTTGATTACCACGAGGTCAAGGATCGAGCTACCTGTAAGAGCTACGTTATCTCTCGATTTGACAGATGAAGCGATCGAACAATGATACTAATACATCACACAGAAACATAATCCCTATGCCCTTCGGTGTATTCCTTAATTGCCTGTGAATTATGTGTGGAATTTTATGCAGTAATTTACAGACGTTGGACTTCAACAAAAATTCATTTTGTCTATTAAAGCTTCTAAATTCTACCTGTTCTAGTATTTTATCTTCATCAAGCTTCGTAATACATTTAATTGTAAATAATTAAATATACTGTACTTGCATCAAATCTGCAGTTTATTGATAAGATAAATTTCTGTGGAGAAATTATTTATGTAAATATTAAATATTGATGTATACTGTATTTTTTTCTCAAAAAGAAAGCACGTGAGAAACATTTTCACATTACCCTCTAATGAAATATTGAAATGTTATTTTGGAACACAGAATGTAAATGTATTCGTCGCATTAATACAAATGTACATTTGAAGAAATATTTTAAAGAATTACTGCTGCTACAGCTTCATATAACACATTATTTATTGTGACATATTATTCAAGCAATTCAATGCGACGAGCAGCAAAACACGTCCGCTGAAAGGTTAAAATTGCTCAGCGAAATGAACGTGTTCGATAATATATTTATCGAACATATTCGATAATAACATTTGCATAAAATCATCATACAAAATATAAATAAAAAGCATTGCTCTATTCATAATGCTTTATCGTAATTCTATTACCGAAAACTTTTTACATTTGATTTTTTACGAGAAACCTTAAATGTTTCGCTGAAATAGATCAAAGCGAAGTAATATTATATAAATCGAACTGATAAATATAAACATATAAGTACAAACTAAGTGGACAAGATATTTATGTACAAAATGATTTAATCATTTTTTAAGGATATTCCATTATGCAGTACGAGCGCAAGGAATCTTCTGGCAAAACTATTCTACGTATGTATTAAATTTAACAAAATTTTGATTACATATGTAATTACAATACCATTAATATCTTTTTAATTGATGATCTACTCAGTGACATACATGTTTAATGAAAAGAATATAAAATTATATTTTTACAATGTTTACAATATTAAAAATATTCTATTTAAAAATAAATATTTCTATTAAGACATATATCCTAGTGGTGATAACATTGGTCGTACAGTTAAGGAACATTACGTTTTTCCTAATTCCCAAAGAAAGAAAAGTTATGCTCATTTCAAATCAAGAATAAAAAAAATTGTGAAATCAGTAAATAATAGTGCACGAAAATATCCTCGTTCCACTCAAGGTAAATAAAATCAAATGAAAAAAGTATCATCTTCAAAATAATAAGGATTAAAAGACATAAATCCATAAAATTTTTAAAAGGATAAAAATTTTCATCTGCATATAGGTATTAATTAATGAAACATACTGCTTTTAGAACACACTGATTTTGACAAATACCCGTATAAAACGACTTGTCCAAATTGTTTAAGCTACATAAAAACAAAAGTATATTATTATAACACACTTGGAACACACACAGTTGCTGCAAGTCTATCTCCAGTTTGGTTAGTATAAATTGAAAGTATTACTCTTTTTATCACATAAAACTGGTCAAAATGTTTCCTCTTCTTCTATTATTATTATAAAATAGTAGTAAAATATGTATCATAAAGCATAGAATAATTGTATTATTTTTTATTAAAATATCACTGAAAATCGTTATCGAAGTATGTGCATGATACCGTATTGCATCACGAAATTCAAAAACGCAGCTCACTATTGCCCCAGATGCAATATTTATTTAGGAACGAAATTTGGATCAGCAAAGAAGTTATTCCGTTGTTTGCAGGATATAGAAACGTAGTAAAAATAATATATTGTAATTAATAATAATATTTAGTTTATATGTTACTATCGAACCAATCACTTTGTACGTAACATTGTAACTTTGTATCCGAAAAACATAAGTATATAAATGATGTATGTATTAATTATTGCAATTATCGAAAATATTAAAAGAAACTATGTAAACTATTTCAAAACTTAGAACACTCATCAGCTACGTATGGAAAGAATGTTTGAATGTTTTGGAAACTAATTAAATTTGATTGAAATATTTTATGCAGTAGAATCGAAATATTTGTTACATACTTCATAATGTATAAAGAATATTTGTCAGCGTTGTAATTTACTAAATCTTTTATATAGTAATATTACACGACAAAACTGAGTCAAAAAAGTAAATGATGGCGCCATCTGGTGCAATATCAGAGCACTAAACAAAAATGTTGCAATGTATAAAAGTACATTGTATTTACGTTACCATTATTGGATAATAAAAAGATGTTATTTACAGAAGATATGAATTTAATTGTTTCTTCTTCGTATATTACATGATATTATCTATGTAATAAAATTACTACATTTTCTATAATTTCTTTTCATATTAAATAACAGAATAATTCCAAAATATTATTCATAAAAAGCAATTTTAGAAAATGGTAATACTAAAGAATGCAAATTACAAGTTAATTAATTAAAAGTTTAAACTCACATATTTCTGAAGAAAATTCTGGCTTCTCGCCAAAAATGATGATTTTCCATTTCCGATGATTTTATACTCTCCATTCTGCAGTTTTTCTTTCATAAAACATACTTTAATTGCCTATAAAAAAGAATTAATGATCAATTGGAGATAAAAGATGCAATCATAGTGAGATTGAAAGAGAAATTTAATAAGACATTAAGATGCTTGTCAACTGATCAGCGTAAATCGACAATTGTGATTGACCAAAGTCAATCTGCGAAATAGTCCCGTATGGGGGTTAGGGTGGGGGTGAGTATTATGAAATATCTGATATGGACATATGAAGAAGTTTTAGAAATGTAATATTAATCATTTGCTAACTATATTTAACACCAATATAAAGTTTGAAACATATTCAAATGATTTAAAAGGAAGTTTGAATGTGTCAGACGAAGTAACTACGAATAAAAAATTTTCTCCTGATCTTATTCAGGCAATATTTCAACAAAAGAATTGTAAATTTTATCTTTTATGCAATATAGTCCGAGGAGCTAAAAAATTCTGATAGATAATGCTAATAATTCACTAGTAAAGAATTAAAAGCATGTAAATAATATTCTATATTATAACTTCAATATTCAACTTTTTTATATGGCAAAGTATCTAATACCTTTAGGGAAAAGAAATGATGTAATGCCAAAATTCTCCGAGACGGGTTTGCCTTAAACATTATTTTATCTCTTGATTTCTGTTTGCTATGTTTAACAACAATTTATACACAAAAATAACTTATAGGCGTTCACAGAGCGAAAGAACTTATATGAAATGGTACAAGAATTAATTATTTAAAAGAATAACAAATCAGGTTCGAAAAAATGAATAGTCCTGTCATCTAGCGACGGAATTCTTGAACAATAAATCTCGTCGGTATTAAGGTATTTTTTATGTTGTCGGTATTTCAGGACAGTAGATATGAAAATTTTAGTTATATAGCTTTACTATTAGATGGTGATACTAAGCCTTTTTATTTGAGCAGAGTTCACGAGTGTAATAAGTCAGTTTTGGTGTTTATCGATATTTCACTAATTTTACTTTTATACTCTGATGGCAGCACAAGCAAAGCGACAATAAATTGGCTTCGCGTTTGTAAACGAAAGCTGTTGCATCTTATATTTCATTATAAAATCATAAAAGAACACGCAATACATGTTCACGTGGAAAGGACTGTCGGATTTGAAACGATAATTCTTAGTATTTGAGCTGCACCACTAGTCATGGTTCGGAGTAGCGACAAGTAAGTGAAAAACTTATTTTAACTCTTTCTGTAGGTTAACTTTATTAATTTTTCAATTATTTATTACTTGAATGATAATTCGTCATACCTTTTGTTCTGTTTATAAATCTAAATTATATTAATTTCATTGTTTCATAGGGACAGACATCACAGGCGACGGTCGAGATCGAGGTCGAGATCTCGGTCAGCCACGCCGGAAAAAAAACGACGACGATCTAGGAGCAGGGACAGGGACAGGGACAGAGATAAGGGGCGACATAGAGAAAGAAGAAGTCGTTCTAGAGACAGAGACAGAGATAGGAGTGATAGAAGGGAACGTTCTGAAAGGGATAGAGACCGTGACAGGAAACGGTATATTATAATTAAATAATGAGTACAATTTATCTTTTTACTGATTTTTTTATTCATGGTATATACTGTCAGTTTTACCATCTATGCAGGACATGCAAATTCGTTTATTATTACTTTTTGTTGTTTTTGTTTTTTGTTGGAATAATTGTATTAATGGAATAACGTGTTAACATTTATTGATTGTTCTCGGTATACTAGTGGAGACAGTAAAGAAAAGCGTCTTACAGGATCAAAGTCTTCACGTTCAGGCAAAGATCGGTCTAATCGTTCAAGATCCAGAGAACGCAAGGAGAAGGAGAAGGGTGACAGTGATGAATTGCCATTTGATCATACGAAACTAGATAAGGTAATTAATTTAATTTTTTTTTAATTTGCTTGATTTATTGGAGAAAATATTTTTTAACTAATCAATTTATAATTTCCTACTCATTCTTTCAGGAAGAAGAACAGAAAAGATTAGAATTGGAAATGCAAAAGAGAAGAGAAAGAATAGAAAGGTGGCGGGCAGAAAGAAAGAAGAAAGAGCTGGAGGCAACTAAAAAAGACGGTAAGGCATCAATTTTAGCAAACCTTCAGCTGCCTATGAAAAAATGGTCCCTCGAAGATGATAGTGATGAAGAGACTCCTGTTGTTCAGAACAGCAACAAGGAAGTTAAAGAAGAAGGTGACACGAAAGAAGAAGTTGAAGAAGTCAAAGAAGAAACTAAGGATGATGATGAAGAAGTTGATCCTTTGGATGCCTTCATGGCAGAGGTATATTTATCATTTTTTTCCTTTTGTTGCTGTACTAATTTTTACCTGTATTTAATTAAATACATTATTTAAACAGGTTCAAGAAGAAGTTCGGAAGGTAAATAAACTTGACAATAAAGGTGCAAAGAGTACAAACAATGGTACAGGCACGGGAGGTACCCAAAGCGGGGGCGTTGTTATAGTAACTGGCGTTGCCAAAAAGAAAGTGCAGAAACAAAAAGGAGAACTGATCGAACAGAATCAAGATGGTTTAGAATATTCCAGTGAAGAAGAAGGAGAAAATCTGCATGAAACAGCCGCTGGTATCGCAAACAAGCAGAAACGGGAACTAGCTAAAGTTGATCATGCAACAACCGAATACCAACCATTTAGAAAATCATTTTATGTTGAAGTACCTGAAATAGGTATGTTTTATAACTTCATTATAATATACATACAATGTATTGCTGATTCATATTTTTTATATCCGCAGCGAGAATGACACCGGAAGAAGTGGAAGCATATAAAGAAGAATTAGAAGGCATCCGTGTGAAAGGAAAGGGTTGTCCTAAACCTATTAAATCATGGGCACAATGTGGTGTGACGAAGAAAGAATTAGAAGTCTTGAAGAAACTTGGTTATGAAAAGCCAACACCCATTCAGTGCCAAGCAATTCCGGCAATTATGTCTGGTCGCGATCTGATAGGCATAGCAAAAACCGGAAGTGGAAAAACGTTAGCTTTTCTATTACCAATGTTTAGACACATTCTTGATCAAACACCATTGGCCGATGGTGATGGCCCGATCGCGTTAATCATGACACCTACTAGAGAACTATGTATGCAGATTGGTAGAGATTCGAAAAAGTTTACGAAATCTCTGGGATTATCACATGTATGCGTCTATGGTGGAACCGGTATATCCGAACAAATAGCAGAATTGAAGAGAGGTGCCGAGATAATTGTTTGTACACCCGGAAGAATGATCGACATGCTTGCAGCAAATAGTGGCAGAGTGACGAACTTACGAAGAGTTACCTACGTAGTACTAGATGAGGCTGACAGAATGTTTGACATGGGTTTTGAACCTCAAGTAATGAGAATCATGGAGAACGTTCGACCAGATCGACAAACTGTACTTTTCAGTGCAACATTCCCCAGACAAATGGAAGCTTTAGCTAGAAGAATTTTAACTAGACCTGTGGAAGTTCAGGTTGGAGGTCGATCAATTGTTTGCAAGGATGTTGAACAACACGTGGTAGTTCTTGAAGAGGATCAGAAGTTTTACAAGTTGCTAGAAATTCTTGGTCATTATCAAGACAAGGGTTCCGCCATAATATTCGTCGATAAACAGGAGAATGCTGACACCTTGTTGAAAGATCTTATGAAAGCTTCCTACTCTTGTATGTCTCTTCATGGTGGAATTGATCAATGCGACAGAGATTCTACGATATTGGATTTCAAAGCTGGTAGAATGAAATTGTTAGTTGCTACTTCTGTTGCTGCAAGGGGTTTGGACGTGAAACATCTTGTTCTTGTGGTAAATTACGATTGTCCGAATCATTACGAAGATTATGTGCATAGGTGTGGAAGGACTGGAAGAGCTGGAAACAAGGGGTAAGTTTCTTCTTTCTTAAGTACAAGCTTATGTTTAACCACTTGTGGTGTTAAGAAATTCACGGTTGCTCGTGCCAGAACAGTTAATTGTAACTCGCTGCAAGGTGTCACACGGAGTTCGACGTGTTATAGAAAAGAATATAAAGACGCATCAACTGGTGATAAAATTACACATGTATAAATACTAAATTTGTTTATTAATAATCTTGCATATTATGATATTTTTCAAAACAATTTGGAAAATTAACATTTCTGTGACAATTGCCTGTCGACGTGTACAACACCTCGCTGACGTTCCTGTAACAGAAGCATCTCGACGTGCGTGGCACGTCTTTCCACCGCAAGTGATTAAACTATCGTCTTATACGATGACGATTTGTACACAATTTTTGGTATTATGGTTATAAAGTGAAACACTCTATTCTCCTTTATAGATACGCGTACACGTTTATCACACCAGAACAGGAGCGTTATGCGGGCGACATTCTTCGTGCCCACGAATTGGCCGGAGTTCCTGTCCCAGAACCGTTACGTCAACTTTGGGAAGGCTACAAAGCCAGACAAGCAGCGGATGGCAAGAAAGTACACACAGGTGGTGGTTTCAGCGGTAAAGGATTCAAATTCGACGAATCAGAGGCGGCACTGGCGAATGAGAAAAAGAAGTTCCAGAAAGCAGCCTTAGGTTTGCAAGATTCTGACGATGAGGATATAGAAAATGACATAGATCAACAGATAGAAAGCATGCTAGCACCGAAGAGGACTGTTCGAGAGATTGCCAGACCTTCTGCTACCAATATTGCTGTTCCTGGTCAACCCGTCCCCAGTGCTACTGATAAATTAGAACTTGCTAGACGACTGGCGTCCAAGATCAACATTGCCAAGAATTTGGGCGCCGAGGCAAAGGGCGCGACCCAACAGGCTGCTGAGGCTATCCTTAAAGGAGCTGGTCCTACTAACCTCATCACAGCGAAGACAGTCGCAGAACAGCTAGCTGCGAAGTTGAATACCAAGTTGAACTATCAACCACGAGAGGAAGACCTTGTGGAGAGCGATGCAGAGGCTGGTGAACAGACCTTCCGCAAATACGAGGAGGAATTAGAAATCAACGATTTCCCGCAGCAGGCTAGGTGGCGAGTCACCAGCAAGGAAGCTCTCGCGCAGATCTCAGAGTATTCTGAAGCTGGTCTTACCGTTAGAGGAACATACATAGCACCTGGCAAGGCTCCACCAGAAGGAGAAAGAAAGTTATACTTAGCTATCGAGTCCACTAGTGAATTAGCGGTCAGCAAGGCCAAGGCAGAGGTCTCGCGACTCATCAAGGAAGAATTGATCAAGTTACAAGCATCAGGCGCGCACACTGCCTCTCGCAGCCGATATAAAGTTTTGTAAAAAAACAATTTCCGTTGTACATGCTACTTTACGCACTACGGTATACTGATTTCTCACTGAACTGCGTATGAGTAAAATTAGAGATTTATTATTAAACTTATAAATGACTATACAAAACACTTTGTATTTAACGGTACAATAACGAAGTATACTTAACGCTTACGGAAGTATCGATCCTGTCAATAATTTTTCTGCGAACGATTCAAATTTAACGAACCGGTACGTTTACAATTTAAACGTTCGATCGGTCGCGGTTCTTCGAATTTATTTAAAATCGCGAAATTTGTAACGTTCGACATAGTATTTTCTATCGACTATCTGCGAAGAATACAACGGGAGATTCGGCGTTCACGTTGTTTGGTAACTTAAGTTAGGAGACTTTATTTACAACTTATATGACTGCCCACAACCGAAGGGCGATCATCCTTTTGTACACGTTCCACCTGCTCCCATTTCTTTGGCAATATTAAAAGATCGACGAAAATACAACTATACTTTCCTGTATATTACATAGGCACTAGAAGAATCACAGTCATGAAATCGGCGTTGTCCCGGAAAACTACGCCATTAGGTAAAAGAAATGCTTAGCACCTTCGAAAACATGATCAGAGGGATCTATCGTGTCTCGCCACGGTAGCGTGTAGTTAGCATCTTTCAATGTCTACCGTGGCCAGCGACGATTTTCATTTTCTTTCTCTCCATTCCAGTCCTCACAAGATGACGATATGAATGATCATCCCGAGGATGAGATTCGCAAAACATCCTCCAACAGTGATGGCACTGGATATGTAACTATGAGCAATCTCCGCTCTCGTGAGTGCGCCCAAAGGCACCTCAGCCGCGATTCTAGGGCTCCTCTCCACTATTCTGGTAACTAATTTCTCAGTCTCTGTTACGCAGGCCCGCAGTTGCAATATCGAAGGCTTCTTAGACGTGGGCTGAACGATGATAAATATGTCTCGGTCCGGTGTCATCATTCCCCGAAGTACACACTGTGCGACCTGGATTTGTCTTCCGAGAGCAGTCAGCAGGGCTTCCAGGGTGACGGAATCTTTGTCCTCGTCTTCGCCCATTATGTAATATATTCTGTCCAGCTGTATACAAGCAAATAAAATATGTGTTATTTAAACATTTACGAAACAACGCATTAAGAGAAAGGAAAAGGAAAGAATTTTATATACTTGTTTCTTGGAGTAGAACAGTTTAGCTGCACCTCCGCAGACTGGGCAGCAGGCTCCAGGCGGCGTGGCACCGATACAGTAAGGCTGAATCAACTTAGGACATTGGACGAATTCACCGCAACGTGGCTTCGCTTGATCACCGATTAAACCAACCGCCACGCAAGTTCCAAAGTAATCGACCACTATCCTCTCCGCCCAAGCTGCGCATTCGTTCGCGTAGACCTCGCCGTTCACTCCGCAGACGGGTCCTCTCAAGGTACACCCCTCCAAACATTGTCCTCTGTAAGCCAGTGTAGCTCCAGCGCGGATCATGGCGCACACCGATCGATGCTGACGATTTTCTTTATCGCAAACCGGTCCGCTGAACTCATCCCGGGGATCGCAGTCCAGAGGGATACAGTCGTACTGGCGACAAGGCTTGTGGAGTTTAGACAGGCATGTCCTGATCCTGCGGACACACTTTTCTGTGCTATCGCAGGGATTCGACGCGCACGGATCTCGGGAAGAACAGCTGCCGAATTCCACTTCGTTCGGAGACAAGTCTGCGCACTTGGCCAAGCAAGCTGAAGCGAACGTGAAGCCCAATCTTCCACAAACTGGAACATAATGAGCCGGACAGTCGCAGGGTAACGAAGGGACCCTCACCTCCCCGCAGCTCTTCTTGGAACACGTAAACTCGCCCTCAAAACAGTGACAAGGGTTGCAGTCCAAGTAGAAGTTTGCTTTGTGCGGAATGAAACGGTCGTGAACCCAGCAGGTGTTGAACTTGATGCAATTCAAGGTTTTACACTTCTCCAGGCCTCGAAGAGTACACTGGCAGATCCTGAGGCAACCCTGTTGATCGTACCGTGGGATCTGAACCCAAGAACCGACTGGAACCATTTGCTTTGACATCTCCCCCAGTGAGCAACCAGGTACACAGCGATATATCTGCCGCCCATGGGGAAGAACCTCGCAGATTTCACCTTGAGCACAGGGATTGCTCTTGCAAGGTGTCATGATGTCTTCTTCGAGGCGGATCACCGACTCGTTGTCTTGAGGATCTTCCAAGAATGGTTTTAAGGACACGCATGGAGCGTCTGATCTGGGAGGTGACAATTTTGCGCACAAGGTATTAGCTGTGTGAGATCCAGTAATAGCAGTCCAGTCGACGCAACTGGCCATTAATTCTAGACAATCTTCTCGACATAGTCTGGTTTCATGTATTCTTGTCTCGCAAGGTCTTAGCTGCAATAAACACGCGGCTGCACGCAACGTTTCCGGTGGACAAGATGCAGCAGCGCGCACAGGTACTCCCAAGCCACGGACAATTCCACCTCTGGACCAGTGATCGGCTTCCCATTTGGCTGCTTCGTCAGCCACAGCTGAGCAAGTCCTAAACGGAGAATAAAAAGTAAGGAACAACTAAGGTAGAGCAAGAATAGAAAGCAAAGGAAAGCGCGGGAGCAGACTTGGACCTGATCCAAATGTAGCGGAGTATTTACCTAAAGAGCGTCGTCGACCTGTCGTTAAATCGAGCGCAATAAGACAGACCGGAGCAGCCCATTTCGCAAGGTTCCTCAGCATCCTCCAAGCATCTTCTCAGTTCTCCCTCGAAACTCGATGACAAGCATTCCGCGTCCAATTGAACCCAAGCGGACTCCCAATCAGCTTGAAAGGCTCTCCAACACAAATTTTGACACGACGGCTTGCTTGCTTTCGTACAACATGATAATTTTCCTGCGTCCAACGGCAGACGAGCTGGTTTCGAAGAGTCCGACTTCATCAAGCAACTCCAAAATGGCGACTGAGGCAACACCGGTTTACATTTTTCTGCCAGGGCGTCCATAATCTCCTGATCCGTGGTTGCTGTTTGAAGAATCCTCTTGCAAGTGTCCAGGCAAGCTGGAGTGGTAGCCTCGTTGCAGCAATGTAAATCTAGATAGAAAGCACTTATGAAACATCAAATAAAATAAAGAAAATGTCTCTTCTTAATGTTCACTTACGTTGTTTAGGATCTTCGGCATGTTTCACCTCAACGATGTTCTTCAGACACTTCGGAACCTGGTGGAAGCAACCCTTGCTGCTGTACAGCTTCAGATTCGAGACTTTTCCCGGTTTGTAGAATAAGTCTCGGCAAATCGATCTACAAGTCTCGTTACAGACGTTGCTACAGCAATGTTCCGCTTCCTCGCGCCTCTCCAAGCACGAGAAGAACTCAGGCTCGTCACTTGGCCGGCAGGATTCGTTCAGATGCCTCCTTGATCCCGATAAAGCGCACGTAGATCGGCAAATCGGATTCAACGCCAGGTAACAGCAGCCCCTCCCTGTCCAGTTCCCGTGTTTCCTGACCTCTACAATGGAGAGAACGGTAATTAAAAATGTTTCGAATAAACGTACGCTGGGCAAAGCGGATCGTCCGTGCTCTCACCGTTTAAAGTCGAATTGGCGCAGTCCCAAAATTCCGTCTGAAAAGAAGAACAGAGTTGAAGGCAAAGGCTAGACCAGATAAAAAGTGAAAACCGAGGCGGATCGTAAGAATAAGCCATCGCCAAGAGTCTCTTGTAACGCGAACCCATTCAGCTACCTCTCCTTTCTTTGAACCGCGTCGACCCATTGTCGGCGGGTCTCCGTTGATTCGCGCGGACGACTGTCTCGGGGATCGAATATGGATTAAAAGGATCGATTAAAAGCCGCTTACCAGCTCCGGGGAACAGAACTCCAGCAGGCGTCGTGTCGCGTTCTCCCTTGCCTCCGCGTCGGCACCCAGCGCGACCAGAGAGATCTGAAAGCGACGCGTAATTTTTTTCACTCTTTTCCATCTCCTCATTTTTAGCCGGCACCGTGCGATTGTGTTGTGTCTACCAGATCTACAGAAAACGAGACGCGTTCGGGGGGAAATAAAAAAAGATCGCCGCAGCTGTATCTCTCCCCGATGGGAATTTTCACGATTCCGAATGCCAGGCGTGACGCGTTTCAAGTTATTAAGAATCAAGGACACGAGTACACCACCGACCGCCACGGTTTCCTGTTGTTCATCACTGAATGACAATAAACCGCACGGATATCGACTGGCCGGCCATTTAGGGGTTCATTCTTGATTCAATCAGCGTCCACCGCGAGGACGTACCGGACCATTTCGTACTCTCGTCACGGTCGCGAGTTACGACCGTCCCATTGGTCGGCGTGCGGTGGGTCCTGTTAGGTCTTGAGCGTAGCCTGGGTCAGCGCATACTATTTGTTTTTTTCTCGTAATCGATTTATAGTAACCCTTATTCTTCCGTATCAAATGAAATATGTACCTTTCCGCGTTAACCGAATGATTTATCTTTCAAGGAGATTTGGAGGAAGAGGTAATGACTTAGAATAAGAGATAACGAATGTTTCGGAAAGTAACCGGGTCTGGTCAGTTTCACGAGTACGGAGTACGAATAAGATTCGTTGGCGCAGGACGAAGATGACTCAAGGAAGCTTGTAAGTTGAGGCGCAAATATTTACTTTTCGGAAAAATAAATATCCGCGGTAGGGGTATAAAGACGAAAATAACGTTAGCGATATTGGACGAGCTGATAGATTTAGTTTACCGTTGCAACCATTAATGGCGTAAACGATAGCGAACTGAGTAGAGGACGCACGTATTTCTGTCACGGTATATTCTGGGAGGTATGCGCGACTGTGCACCGCCGCCATTTTAAAGGGGTGCAATTTTTTTCGTGAAAATTTCCTGCGACAAATACCAAGCATTTTCACCGTGAAGCCCGATAAATATCACGTCGAATAACACAATTACACTGTCCATTTTAGTCGTACCGAAGATCTAAAATGTACACAGAAATGGAAGATTAAACGCAGTCCCGATACTCGGAACTTAACGTTTAACTTAGCTCTTCCGGTGGCTTCGTTTTCGAATTCACGGAAGATCGGTGGCTCATCGGTAGTCAAGACAGGCGGTTCCATCTTTCTCGAGCTGTTTCTACACCTCAGACTCGCCGTACATCACATTCCACTGACGCAGCGCCGGTGGGACACATGAAATATTGGGTAAGGGACGTGTATGCCTTGGCTCCTTTCATGAATACCAATGTACAGGGTGGTCCACATTGATACCTCTTCGGTGATAACATTTACGACGTTAAGAGCGGTTGATACTGATGAAGGTGATCAATTTGAGCGTTTATCGACCCCGTGGACCACCCCGCGTATAAAACAACCAACCGACGTGTCTGAATAGGAATTTCTTAGAGAAAGGAGTTCCTAGTTCAAAGAATAGAAGTGGTCTAAAGGCGAATCGCATTCGCGACTACAAATTGCAAAGGAACACGATATCATTGATACCGTGTCCGTTTCTCGGAGTCGAGTGCGTCAATTCGTAATATTTGCGTATGAATGAGCCTACCACGGGCCCCCCGGGGGGGTCCTGCGTAAATCTCTCAGCGGGCCCCAGTGTCTCCGATATTATCTCCGAAGGGGCCCTGCAGCCACTTTTAAAGAAGCTACAACCACGCGTGCACCCCACGTCGCTCCGTGGCCGAGGGCCTGTCGAAAAACCACCATGCTTCCTCTCTTTCTCTTTTCCATGCTTCTTCGTTTGTTTGCCCGTTTCCTTTTCTTTTCCTCTCGTCTTCTTTTTTCTTCTTCCTTTTTAATTCTCTTGTTCGTCCTTTCACCTTTTCCCCTCGTTCCGTCCTCGTCTCGCAGTTTCCTTTTTATCCCCGGGAGAGATCCTAATATATCCGTGGACACGGCATATTTTGTACCCTTTATCGTCCCCGGGGTCGGGCCACCGATATTTATCAGCCGCGCGATATCGCGCTCGCCCCGGCGAAATTATATTCCTTCGAAATTGTCTTTTTGAAATTCCCACGGAGATCTTCGCGCGTATAATTAATAGATACAGTAGAACGCGACCGGCTGCGGAGCGGTGCGGGCGCGGGGCAGAGGGGAGGACAACTTGGCTCGATAAATCGCTAATAATATACGTTCCGCTATTCGACTGTTCGAGTGGAATATATTCCCTTGTAATTAGATCCCTCTCGCAAGATGACACCGCGGAGAAATACAGCTTGGACAAATTGAATCACTATTGACAGGCGGTGGTAATTCACGGGTGACCGAGTCTGCTCGATGATTTAGGGAAGCGTGCGTTGGTAATCTTATTCGCTGTTCGATTATCGGTGTTTGTTTGGGTAGTTTTAAATGCTTTTATTACTTTTATAGACTAATCGATTAGACTAAGAGACGAATGTCGAAGAATGAAGTGAAAATTCAAGCTACGCTGTAAATCCTATCAAGTTTGCAGCTTATTTATCGAATATAAAGGACGACGAGAAAAGTGAAGGAATTCACACTGAAACGTGAGTCTGTATTCAATTTATGCTGGATGAATCACCGAATCACTTTATTATGCTTTTCTTACGAGTATTAATATAATATCGTGTTTAATGGCCTAGAGGCGACAAGAACCAACAATCATAAATCGCAGCCTTGAGAAAGACAAGATCACTATCGCCACTCTTACGATCAAGGATATAAAAGTTCACGTTTATAGTCATTGTTCGAGATAGATGTACTATAAATATTCTCTAAAGAATAACATTGAATCTTATTTACTAAATTTCGAGCAGGAACCACGGTTACTTCTCATTTTCCAAATATTCGGGTGCCACGTGTTTTTCTAACGGTAGATCGTTCAGTATTGTAGATGAATGGGGAGCATACCTTGGAACAGACACTGCGACAAGATCCGGCCGCCAAAGAACAGCATGACATCTCTGGAACAAATAAAGCATGGATACTTTAGGTCCTTCGGCGCACGCGAAAACATATGGCGACTAGACTGCCGGTAGACAGGATACAGATTGCGAGAGGATCCTTTCTCCGCTTTTCTCTGGACGAGAAACAGACGCGTGACCTGCGTTACGTCAGTTAGTTAGAAGGAGGAAAGGTCCGCTCTTTATGGTACCGGATGAGGGTACGTGAGACATGTCAAAACTTAAGTAGTCTTCGTAACCATCTTTCCAACATCCTCCCATTGACCATGAAAATCGAATGAGGAAAATGATGGGAACGGTTGAAATATTGCTAACTTAATATACTACACGCACGAACAAATGTAAATTATTGAATTAACTCGTACGTAACTTCAATTTTCGTCTCTTAACCGTATTTAGGTCAGAGACGCTTTATTAATGTTAATTTACTCGGTCCGCCTTTATTGAATTCAACGTCTGGTATTTAATTTAATTGATATTCATGGAACCTCCGTCATTTAATTCTTTGAAAACGAATTTCCGGGAATCAATATCAAATGGAATATTATTTGCTTTATAAATTGTATTTTTTCGTAGAATGAATATTTACAGTTTATCCATTACTAATTCCAATCAAAATAATTAAAATAAGTTATTCGATTGTATAGAGATACACAAATAGAATTGACGCATATTTTTCAAAAAGAAGTTGATACAATGGGAACGTGACTTTCTTAACGAACGATTACAAGCTGTTACTCATGTAAACTTTCAAATGGAAAAATGAGGGAAACCGGGTGAAAGGTTGATGCGCCTAATTCGAAATAATTAAGGCGATGATGACAAGGGTGGTAAACAGAGAAGAATGGGCCCTGTTCTTTCCGTAGCCTCTTTTTCCTGCAACAGTCGTGTTTTCGCAGCGAACGACTCTCATTCTTCCTGTGGAAAATTACTTTTATTAAACGATCGCTCGGTGGCATCATATATTCGTCTCGGGTTCTTCTCGTAAGTGATCTTTTACGACTTCACGGGCGTAATATGCGGGTCCAGTCAAACTGGCTTTTGAACGGGGACCCAAATCGTGAATGCTGGCCACAATAAACGATGCACACGGCCACGGAGAGTGCGAGAGAGAGCGAGAAGGAGTACCCGGAGACAAGGGGGTTCGAAGCGTGTTACAATTAAGTTAATAGATACCAGTCAGACACAAATTGCGGCCGACTATGTTTCTCTGCGTGACTCGCTTCACATATAGTGTATTTTCATTGCGGACAAAAGAACTTTGTCATTCTGCAGTTTACCACTGAAATTTTTAATTGTACCATTCTTTCTCGTAAAGATAGGCGACTACAGAACGCTCCTTCCGGTCTTACTGGGAAAACGTTTGTACAGTTGCCGGAGGACGAAACGACGCACCTTGTTTTGGGAAGAATAGGAACTGCTTGTTTGAGTATCCGTTTCAAAGGAGATACGAATAGAACGTCATCCGCGTTCTGCTTTACTTAAAATACTATGGCGTTTAACTATGCATACTATTATGCTGCGGTAAAGGCTTGAAGTTATTTAAACTGTACCATTCCATGAAAATATGAAACATACTTTACTAGAACTTGGGTATACGTGGAATTCCATAGCAAGGGAGTAAAGTAAGAAAACAGTAAGTCTATTAAACGATTAAAACTGTGCTTCAGTTTCTCATTACAGAATTGTAACTTTGTGTTTCCGTGTATTACAATGTTTCTATAATGAAGTATACTTCTAGAATTTTTACATTTGACGTATAGGCTCATAATAAAGTACAAAGTGATAGAAAAAAAGGCTCGAGACACTTTGCACGACAACCGTGGTTATAATAAGTGCATAAAATTTCTTATGTTCTCGACGGTGTGTCGCTTTTGTAATTGTTGCAGCAGAGCATGACCCATTTCGCCGACCCTATTATTAAAGAACGGTGCGACAGCGAGCACGATCGCCGGCGGAATCGTGAAATTCGCTGCGGCAAGTGCGTCGCCTTAAAACGTAACGGGGCTCTCGTGACTCCTTCTCGCGGACGTCACAAAAATAGCCGGCGTCGCTTACAGCCATTCGACTTCCACCCCGATCTAAGTGGCGAAGTCCCCTTAATTTTATCCGTCGGGGAAAATGGAACGACCACGACCTCCGTCGTCTCTTTGAACACGGCATTAAAAGCGGTTCAAACGGTGCTCGCCGGTTCTTGGACCCAAACACACGGGCTCCGTTCCGATTTAGAAGCGTCTTTGTCGAAGAAGAGGGAAGAAGTTATCGACGTCCGCTGAAATCCGGTACAAAGAAACGGCGATGTTTCTTCGACTTTATTATCTTTCGATTCAAAGGAACGTTGTCTCTTCGCCGAGATACGAGTACCTTACTTTCATTTCGGCTTTTTTTAAGGGACTGACCGGCATTTGAACGATTGAAAGAACGCGTCAACGGCGATTTCTTTAGGTACGCCACACAGAATTACGCGACATCTTCGACGCTGTGTGGGTGAGAGAGTGCGCGCGGTATATCGTTGCATATAAAAGGGCCGTGGCCGGGCTCGCAGCTGCGCATTGCACTGGCGCATCGCGCGCGAATGGTGACATCCACGTCGTTGCGCTCGTAAAACTCGCACGATTCTCCCACGCCTCGTCGTAATAATCCTTCCACCATGTGCGAGATAAACCGGGAAGTCGGGAAAACTTCCACGAATTCGCGTACCGGCCACGTGCATTCATTCAGCCGAATTCGGAACACTAATCACTACTCTTTACCGTTCACCGTCCACCTTCTTCGCAGAATCGTTTTGTCATTGTTATTTATAACGTGTCCGAGACATTACAGTCACCGAATACTCGAAATTAACGTTGAATGTTTCCAATTTCACTTGACATTTAAAACGAAGTGTTCACGCAACGCTATAATGAACCTTTTAATTTATAGACTTACGAAGTCACAAACTCGCATACAAGTTAATTCGAATGGGTTCTGTTTGTTCTAGGAAATCAATTATATAGACATTACGGTGCCAATAATCACCGTATACAGTCGTCGAAACCAATTGATCAATTAGTGTCTGCCATCCGCTGAACCTGCTGCCCTAATTAGCTCGATCGCGGCGGACGTTTTCCTCCGGAGGCAAGGATGCTCGCGGTCGATACCTCGTTACATCACAGTTATCGCGTGGATCCGACCGGGTTTCGTCACACAACGCTGGATAACATCGGTCCAAGGAATTTTTCCGGTTATATCGACGGCAAAAACGCACCCGGTTCGCACAGGATGACGAGATCGTAATTACACAGTGCTCGACGCGAAATACAGTGGAGGGATGCCGGGATGCCGCGTTATGTCTAATTAATACAGTTATCGGACTCACAAGCGACCGTGCATCGAAGGACGATGCGTTTCGCGGGGAACGCGATCGAAAGAAAAGGAAAGGGACGGAGACAGTGTGTTTGTATGCGCGCGCGCGAGAGAGAGGGGCGGGAGAGAGGGAGGGAACAGAAATTGCGGAATAGACGACGAGGAAAAAGCAGGGACGACGGTAGAAAGGGAAAGAGAGAGAGCGAGAGGAAAGATCAGAAGAAGGGAATCGAGATACGTGTCTCTCGACATGTTTTTATCCGGCGTGAAGCTGTCACGGGGTTTTATGTGTTTATTTATCTCTCCACTCTCTCGACACGTCGTGAACATGTATCGAGAGCCCGAGCCTACACGCGACTACACGCACGTGGTGGACCGTGTCAGGGCCCTGTCGATTGGAAGCCGCGTTCTCCTTTAACCCTTTCGCTCGTCTCTCTTTCTTATCCTCGATTCGCGGCGACCGGTCCGAGGGAATCGATTCCCCGGAGTTCACGGATGCGATGGAATCAGGCGTAGATCACTTAAGGAAGCCCGGACGCTTCCTTTAAATCGCAGCGTAAATTCCCGATCGGCTCCGCGAGCCGGGCAGCCGGTCTCCCCGGATCGTATTTCAATCACTCGCGAAAGTGTTACGAGAGAAGAATTTATTAATTAATCGTTATTCGCGCTGTCACGGCGCAAAACCAGTCAAGACCGTTGACTGAGACCGCCCCGCCCATGAAACGCCGGCAAATAAACGTCTGGGGAGTTTAATTGTCGATCGGCGTAATTATACCGTCGACGTCGTCGAGAGGTGCGTAACGCGCGAACTCGCCGCGAACACGTGTTTCGAATTTCATTCGGCCGGCCGTCGAATTACCCGGGAGAACCAGATCGTCACCGTACCTCTGGAAATCGATGTGCCCCCGAGTGACACCGCGCGCGTTGCGTTTAACGAGTTTCGCTTCGCGAAAAAAAGGAATGGGGCTAATAGGAAGCGAATCAGCGGTCCGTCATCTATTAATAACGCAGGCTACCGTTTTTCTTATTTTTTTCTCTTCGTCCTAACCAGTGAGCGACCAGCGAGTCGACCACGATCAATTAACTAGATCAATCTCGATCGATGCGTATTCAAAGTGTTGCCATAAATCGCTTGCGCAACGGCAGCTCGCGTTCCGTTTTCCGAGCTGAAAGACAGGCAAAATTACATGCGCGCGCGCGATAGAAAGGATTTACGCGTGCGGAACAAGCGCGAAAATTACTATGCACTCCTTACTATGCGCGCTTTTCCGTAATCTCCCAACGCGGACAGAAGCCAACTTACGCGAAGGACGGAATACTTTTTCCCGCGATTGTCCGGCCGAATCTCTCTCTTCCTCGCGGGTCGTTTCACGGTCCGTAGTTCGCGGATGATGTATCGACGTCGAAATCGATCGAGCGACACCTTGACCACGCTTCGTCGCGGCCACTGAACGCTTCGAAGCGAGCTTTTTCCGTGATTTATCGGGCGAGCTTGGCCGCGACAACTTTCTAGATCGCGCGTCTAAGGTGTGTATCGTTGACAGAGATAAGCGGCGCGCGCGAGCCGCGGTCAAGATACATCGGGACAAACGCCGTTCCACCGAATCGACGCCTTTCCATCGGCGATACTACCGATAGCCTGGTTGTCTAGCGCATTAGCATTGTATAGCATAAATATCGCAGCTGGTTCCACCGGGTAACGAACAAAGTTAACATTCATTCTTGCTACGACGTGGGACAAAGTGACGGAGGCCGGAGGATTCTAGCTTCTTGAACCATTCTGCTATGATCTATCGCACTCATTAATCTTAGAACGACAGTGTGAGATCATCGGCAATTATGGAACATTTCAACGGTGTCTTCAAACGCATTCGCTGAAGATAGAACATGGGGCTATAAATTAAACGTTCCTCGCATTGATTAGTACCAGCGATACAGTATCAGTTGCATTTGGCTACTGTTCTGGAAGCTGATGCGAAAACAGTATGACTAAGTTACTTCTGTTATATACTTCAAGATTTCACTGTGGAAAGACTAAGAAATCTTCTTTGACAAATAACATCTTCACTGAACCAAAAGTGATTCTCGAATGCCAATCTCGAAAACGTAAACGCCGTTTCCTTTGAGAGTTTAGAAGTAACGTCTTTTTAACATTTTGTGAATCGTGTGTTCGAGAAACTGCCTTCGTAGTCTTTCCAGTGTTAATTTATACGAGCTAGAAGTAAACGTTAGAAAATAAATATTCAGGCGTCCGTGTAGAAAAAGGTGTGCCCATAGGAACGTATAATGAGTGCTCGAGGATCGAAGCTTCGCATGGGATAAAAGTTGCTTAGAAACGAGGGATTAACGAGAGATCAATTAACGCGGAACTCCCGGTTCGCGTGTCGACAGCCCCGAGTACCGGCAACAAGTACCATCGAAGAGGGACCCAGAGAAGAAGGAGCGCGGCAACATGGTGGCGAGGGGAAGGGGCCAGAGAAACGCGACACGTTATCACCTTCGACTCTCTCGCGCGAATATACTTATACGAGAATATGCGGCTGCCAATGGGTCTGCTCGTAGCTCTCTTTCCTCTTATTGCGCGAGGAAACCCGTGGTCCCGTGTTCGAACAGAGTCGAACAGGCAGAGGCGAAGGACCGTTAGCGACACCTCGTTCACACGCACGTGCACCGTGGAAATTTCGAAAGGTATATTGAAAAGAACGGATGACGAAACGCTGACGGCACGTCTTCAGAAAATCGAACATCCTCTCTCATCAATCTTATTCATAGCAGTGTTTACAGTGACTGAAATCCTCATTTTTGCGGGAGTTTCTCTTTTGTAAGCGTAAATCGATGTAAAAGTGTCCAATAAATCGAACGTCGGATACAATATTGTCGCAAGACACAATGAAATTGTTAATAGAACCATAGCGAACTAGCCGGTTGCCTATACAAGGGTTAATTCGGCAAACCGAGTGATCGTAAGTAAACAGAGAATTCTCGGAATTGGATATTGAAATGTTTTCGATGACGTTTTAGCTTCGCGGCGAGAAAACGGGGCTGCTTGTCACAGGACACAACGTGAGAACCGAAAGTCCCCATTACGGTTCGCGCGGAAGCTCGATAAACAAGCCTGCTACTCGAGCGCGACGATAACGTTGAAGAAGGGAGAGCATTAAGATCGCCGCGCGAATCGAACAGCGGAAGAGCTACGGAAAAAAGTAAACACTGACAAAAGCGACGAGAATTAATGCAGAAAGCGAGGGAGTGCACGAGCGGGGAGAGAGCAAGAATGAGCGAGCGAGAATGAGTGCCGGAGGGAGGGAGGGATAGAGAGAGGCACGAGGGCAGAGCGCACATGTGGCCGGGAGAGTTGTCGTCGATATCTTCTCTCGTCGTGATGACAAAGACTCGCGTGGATGGGTTCAATGAATCCGTCCTCCAAGCTCGTATTTTGGCGCGGCCGCGAGAAACGGCCGGTTGACATCGGGTATTTTAAAAATAATCGTGCTTCATCCGAACGCCACGATAAAGGGTTAACGCCTGGAGGCGGTGCTGCAGTCGTTCCTCGTGACACTCTCTTTTGATCTTTTGGAATGTCGTTTTCTCGGACAACTCGCGAAACGACGATGGATGGGAAACGAATTATTTCTGGCGCGGTCGAACTCCTAGCTGACAAGATACCAGGGTATCTTGTCAATCCGACTAGACCGTCCACGTGGAGAACGTTCACGTGCTCCGAATCGTTCAGCTGCTTTTTGGAACGTTTCTTACCGCCAGTGATCTCAATTCAAATTGCTCCGAACTGTTCGATTACTCTTTGGAACGTTTCGTAGCGCCAATTATCTGAATTAAAATGTTTCTTTTATTTAAAGGACGAACTGTCAAAACGGAAACTTTATTCATTAAAGTCCTAAGACCGGAGGATTCGACGGAGGATTCGGTTGAAAGTAGAACATTTAATAAACATAAAGGAACCCGTGCAATGTCGATTGTCTAAATTGGATACTAATTTGTAGGGAAACAATGTACCTTGCGCAGCGTCGAGGAAGGGATTAGCGACGACGAGGACCGCGAACGTCGTCGTCAAGAGGCCGACGATCATCATCGTTGAACACCACAGGTCTGACGAGGTCGCGGTTGAATCGTGGCCACTGGTCGCATCGGTACAACGGAATCACGCGAACAATGGTTACGAGCAATGGGAAATCGCGCGCGACGGTGTTCGCATGTCGGCGAGGCGAGGACTCGCGCGAAAACGAAACGCAGTGGAGCGCGGTCCGCGAGCGACTGAGCTTTTCGTGGCACTTGCGGCCTCGAGGCTCCGGTAAGCTTTTTACTCGACTGAGTGGGTGAGAGGAAGAAGGAGACAGACCGCCAGGGGAACGAGCGAAACGGAGAGAGGGAGAGGAGAGCCGGGACAGACAGTGACCGAGGGATTGCGTGTGGGAGGAGGGAAAAGACGCGTGGCGCGTTGTCACGCAGTGCAACTGCTATTGTGACATCTTCGAGCTGTACCCACACGGTTCCCCCTATATCTTTTTTTCCTTGTTCGTCTCTCTCGCTCGCCTTTCTCTCTCCGTCTCCCTCTCTTCGTCTCTTCCTCCTCAACCTCCGACACCGCCGCCGCAAGATTTCTCGTGGAATTTTGCGCGTGCGAATTCATCAAACGTGATGTCCATTCAGGAAGAGGATGAAAGTAAAGCTGTTCGCTCATCGAGATTTCTTTTATTGCGCTGTTTAATGTATTCCAGTGGGTCCGACTATTTGTCGATTACACGATCGAGGGGATAGAGTTCGTAGACGACGCCTGGAGCCCGACGAAACTCATAAATCTGATGAAGGCGGTTCCACTTGCTTGGCTCTCTGAGGTTTACGGCCACATTCCTGTACCGAAGGAGCTGATAACCCGCGGTTGTTCTTCCTTTGATAACGATTTAACGTATTACAAGCGTACAAGATATTCTGGACGATACCGGGAGGAAAAACGATTGACGCGAGTTATCTTTGATGGGCTTGGTATCATTGACCCTACCACGGTCTTCGAACTTTCCGTCGGAAAAGACTTGAACGCTTGAACCATTTAAAGCGACACGACGTTCTATCGCATCCAGTCGAACTTTTATAGCCTTTTTGCCTGAAATGGGAGACAAAACGATGCACCCCCTGTCTTGATCTTTTCCGCGGTAGGATGTTTCGTATTTTTCCGATCCCCGTCGTCGCGTAACTTTGTACACGAAATGATCGGATCGGGTTGCTCCGGCGTGGGCATGAAAGTTAATCGAATTTGCGAAACGCGATACCGAACGTCGATGCACCAGCAAATTGGACATTTAAGGTTATCCACCCCATTTCGGATTCTCGGCGTCGCGTCGCTGAAAATTCATCGGCGATTCGTTCGAGGATCACGTGATTTATTAATTTATTCGATAAATCTCTCTCAATTCGCACGTAGGTTGACGGTGGTTGTCCCTTGAGGATTCCGTCGCCTGCCCCCTCTTCCGCCGCGTGTTCATCCACTTTCCTCCCCTCGTTCGTCTCATCGAGGCAGCCCCGCTATTTCGCCGTAGATACGTGCATACGGGATTCCATCGACCGTCATTCCCGATAATAATTTTGTTGTCTGTAATTACATGATGCGTGTCGTTGTGTAATTATTATCCGAAAGACGACTGCCCCGGCCTTGGTACGGAAAACGCGAAAGCTTGCCGGGGAAATTCATTATCGTCGTGTAGGAAATAACCGTGAGGGGAACCAGTTTCCAGTTGTACGCCGATAAGTACGCTCGAAGTTTCTTGTGAATGTGTACCGGCTCGGGCCGCAGCATAAGCCTCTGTACACCGTAAAGACCATTATTAATGTAACGCGCCGTGCTCGACGACTAATTTGCAAAATGAACGGTTGATGGCGCTATCTTGAGATGCCTACGAGCCGATCGCACCTTTGACATTAACAAAGACATTCGAGGGGCACAGGAACATGCCACGCTGCGCACGATTACCTTTCGGCGATGGTTGATGGTACTCGCCGAGCTATCGCCGATGTTTCACGTGCGATTAATGTATAATAATCAAATCTACTTACCCTGGAGTTACGTAATTACCGATGCGCTCCACGTTCGGGTATTAGTTTTCTCTTCTCTAGAGACTTAGCGACGTTACGGTGGCTTTCGGCGCGGCGAGATCGCGGCAGAAACGGTTTCGCCGCGCGGACTTCGACCCGGCTTAACTCACTTAAGTAGTCACAATGGTTATTAATTATCTAGAGAAGAGCATCGCTTAAGTGAACAGCGTTGTCTGCATCTGACGATCAAAATTCCAGCAATATGAACTCTGATTTTCTGCGCACGAATCCGAGTTTCGAATCGGCCATCTTCCTAAAATAGGGGAATTCTTGGTTGAAGAATAAAACTCGTCTTTTCCTCGACTTTAACTTTGTTCTAGTATTAGCGGGTTCTTTTAACGAAATATTATTTGCTTTTCAGCTATTCGGTTAAGAGCATTGAAGATTCCGCGTTGCCAACGCAGGGAATTGTCCTGCTATCTTGGAAAACGCACGGAGACGTTGATCGTTAATATAAATTCGATGGCGATTTATTTTCTATGCATGCACGGTTCACGTATTTGCCTCACGCACCCTTCGCGCGAGCGAGAGGAAAGAGGAGGGACAGCGCGAGCAAGGGGAAAGACCAAATAGTTCTCTGAACGTCGCATCCTCCGTCAATCGTCGGCTGCATGTCAATGAACTGGCGTCGAACAACGGCAAAAATCGAGGTCCAAGCTCGTAGACAGTCTCCATAGCGAATGCAACGCGGGAAACTCGAGTTTCTCGCGTAAATTTGTCGCGCGACTGCATCGTGCCAGAGGAATGTTCTTTGTCAACCGCGATCTGCATTCGCAATGCACGCCTCCGCCTTCCCCGTTACATTCCACCCTGGCCGCGGGAATCGTGTACGCCATAGTTTCCAGTTTTCCTCAGATTTCTAGCGAGAACTGAAAATCTCCGGACCGTAACGTTATCACTCGGCAATGCCACAGAATTGTTTACTAATATTTCTTTAGAATAATGATCGTTCGGTATGTATCGTGAGTCAATGAATGAGGAGTGACTCATACGCGGTCACCGCAACGGGAACAGATTAACCTGCATCGATGCTCTCCGCGTTCTGCAATTTGGATAATGCAGTCGATCTTCTTCGTCGTTCGCCGACTTGTCATTATGGAAAACTTCGCCGTACGGGGACAATAGAAATACAATGAGTGAAATTGGAACGCACCGAGGCGGCAATAAGTGCGCCTTGAAAAATTAGACGTTCGAGAGAGACTTTCCACGAAGTCACGGTAAGAGAAAACGTCCCGCTTCGAAAGGTCATCGCGACGTGCGGAGATCACTCATAGAACCGTGGATGATTCGAATGCGTTCCCCGTCTATTAAAGCGAATTTCCTTAATCACAGACGCCCGCCGGCGGCGTTTTAGATTCCTGTAAGCTTCGATCGCATTTAAGTCGTTCACCTTAGCAGACAGTATTTATTTGGTTCGGTTGCTAGCAACGCGTAAACGCTAGAAATGGCAACCTTCGTAACCCGGAAACTCACGCTGGCTATCATAAATAAGATTCAAATATCACGAGCCTGCGCGCTAAAGGTGTTTCCATTGAGCACATTGTCATCTAAAATTCGCTTCGCTTGTGACAAAGTCTCGCCTGTTCAGATAAATCGAAGCGAAATTCATCCCTACGGTTGGTTAACTCTAAATTTTTTCTTCCGAAAGAAAGAGCAAAAATATCAAGGGTAGTGCAGTTTTAAGTTAACGACGCAAGCTCGATAAAATTTTTTCGGGTCAAGAGTCCCGTGAAAGATTCGTGTCGAACGTCAACAATGTCACCCTTACATTGTCGATCGTTTATGAGGAAGGGTCGAGGATGAAATCAAATGGAAAACTGGCGGGCCAAAAGCTACACAAAGTTCCGGGAAGCTTACCGACCGCGTGCAACGAGGGTTGCGAGGGTGATAGCGACGGTAGCGCCTTCGGCAAGGTCCGCTGTACAAGCGCAACCCTCCGGAGAGACGTGGTGGCGAGTGGTGGTGGGTCGACACAGTGGGGTGGCGGAACGGGAAACTCTTTCTCCGCGAAAGTGTCGGGCTGGATTGGCGCTGTCCATATGGAGGCAAACGAGGCGCCGTGTTAGGTACCTTCGGCCTGCACGGACGCCTTGCTGTGTCGTGAAGGGAAACAGTGTCGCCGAAAAAAACACACAGACACATACAGAAAGAGAAAGGGGGAGAGAGAGAGAGAGAGAGAGACAGAGAGACACACACAGACGCATCCCGGCCCGTAGACAGGAGCCGGATTAATTCGGTGAGTGGCGAGGTGGCCGAATTCATGGAAGAGTTCGAGACGCGAGTCAAGAGTGCACGGCTTCCCCTAAATGGGTCAACCCAACCCAGCAACCTGATGTGCGTCCACTTTGTTCCTCTACGAATCGCTGCTTGGCCTAGTTTACCCCCTGAGGGTGGGCGAGTGAAAAGGCACGCGACCTCCTACACGACGGGAACATTAACGAGGGTGCACACGCTTTCGGTTCATCCCGTTCGCCTCCGATCGCCGTGGCCCGTCATCGTCGACGTCGCCATCGTCGGTCACGGTTCCTCCGATCGAAGCTCCCCGTCGGAGAAAAATAATAATGAGATCCGCGGCGACGGGAACGCATTGATTGTCTCGTGACCGCGACTGCTGATCGGGCGAGAGACAGGCGGCGGAGTTGCGGAGGTGAGAGGTCGCGTTGCATTTCCTCGTACACGCGGAACCCACGAACGTGGCGCATCGTGCTGGGGCATCTTTCCCATCCTCGGAGAGGATTACGACACGGATGAGCCGCGGGTGCGATAAATCAACCCCTCGTGATGCTAGGCGATGCATCCGGAAACGACTTTGTTGCCCGTTTCTCTTATTCATGTTGATATTTCGCGATCAGCGATCACGCGTCCGCGGAATCCCCTGTCGGCTGGAATCGCGAACACTTCCACGCGACCCTGAATTCAATTATCGATTCTTCGAAGATAATACACGATGGTGCGTTTTCGATGCACCCGTGTGAGTCGCTTCGTTTTGATCAGCTGTACTTTCTTATGTGTTCATTCCGAACGGAGCTGGCAACGTGCAGTGATTGAACGCGATTTATCTTTTTAGAAATTGTGCAATGCGTTAGTTGTTTAGTTTGATAAACGACGGTTCAGTTGGTCGGTTTCCTTGGAAAAGTTCTGCCCTGCGAGGCATCAGTTCGCTTTGATTGGATTATTGCATTCTGGTGCATGTGCAAATCTAATAATGTGCATTTCCGTTCCCATTATAGATAGACAAGTGTTGATTGCATGTAATAAAAATGGCGGCCAGCAAACCACCTGAAATGAATTACACGTGTGAGATTTGCGGCCTCGAGGGCTTCAACGATGAGGAGATGAGGTCTCATATGGTGTTCTATCATCTCCAAGGCGCCGCAAATTGCCCGTTTTGCGATTTGGGGGAGATTTCGCCGACGGAAATGTTAATGCATGTTAACAGTGCTCATTTGGATTACTTAACGCCAAGGTATATCTGATTCGATTATTTATTTAAATAATTGTATCGTTCGTTTCTCTGTGTAAGATAAGTTTATCATAATCAGGAATTTAAATTATAATGATCGCCTGGAAAATGGCGGCAAAGAAGCCTTAGATGTCGCTATCTTTGTACCTTACAAAGCTATGTTATTCTTAACTGATGGTCCTTATCAGTAACAGTAGTTTTTATATGAATAAATTTATTGTAACTGAGTGTACAGAAATAAGTCGATATTTAAACATAGAATAGGAAGTATTAATCATTTGTACGTTATTTAAATTTTTAGTTAGAAGTTGTAGCAAATTCATATTGAACTGTACTAGTATTTACTTTATTGTTGAATCGTTATTACAGAAAAATTAGTTTCTATTTGTTAAAGAATAACTACAAGATATTTTAAAATATAAATGTGAATGAAGTATACACTTGTCTTTAAGAGAGTAATGAAACTTTCATTCATAAAGTCATGTATGTATATTTCTGTGATAATCTTACTAAAAGTATTTCATTGTTATACAAATTTAATTACATTAATTAAATTAATTGTTAAAAGCAAAAATCAAAATGGGAATTAATTGTTTTTGATGAGAAGCAAGAAATTTATATCTGATTTGTGTATGTATTGTTAACTGAAATGTTTGTTTAGTAACATTTATCTCTTTCAATTGTAGCACACCAGAGAATGACATGATGGCATTTATCGATGATGATTCCTTAGTGGATGATCATAGGCATGACGAGTGCCGTGGCCCTTCACCATCCATGTCTCTACGTCCACCACTTTTACAAAATGGGTGGAGCAGCTCATCTAGTCTACGCGTTAAACAACTACCAGAATCATCAAAGTCAGAGCCACATCATTCTAGTTCTAATGTGAATAATAATAATAATAATAACAATACTGGAAATGTTAATAATGGTATTAAAGAGTTTAATGGAATGTTACATACTTATATCTAAAAATAAGTAAAGTAATCAAACGTTTTATTCCAGTAATAGAGGGTGCAGCTGGTCATGGTTCTCCATTACGTTCAGGCCTAAATTTACAATTGCGTTCTCATGCTACACCAAAACTTCCAGTTCAAGAATGTCCTATGTGCCCCTATAGTTCTGACAGTCCATTAAGGCTAGAAGAGCATATCAATCGGCAACATTTTGATCTCACTTCGCCGTCCTTCCCACCAGAATCTCCACCATCTCGAGATGGTGTTTTCAACTGCCCTTTATGCATCACATCATTTCCAAACTCTTCTGATCTCGAGTTACATGTCAACATAGAGCACAAAGACATCTTGAGGTATACCTAAATTTATGAGTTTTAATAGTGTTTGCTAACTGTAAACTGTTACTATAAAATATATATTTTTTTTTTACAGCCCTGCGAATGGTGCAGCTTCACAGTCCGATCTGGCAACGGTTGGCAGTGATACTCCAGCATGTCCAGTTTGTTTTAGTACTTCGTTTAAAACTAATGATGAGTTAACTGTACACATTGAAGAACACTTTAGCAAAAAAGGCACTCCATCTCCCATAACTCCAGACTTGTCCACTGACAGATTGTTGGCAAAAGACATGGAAAGGCGTGAAAAAGAAGTTAGGAAATTGCGAGAACAACGTGAATTTGAATTATTGAGAGCACAGTATGGCATGGACAATCAGGGCAATTTTAGAGAACAAAGTGTCACTAATATGCAGCGGGCTGTGTATTCGGGTGAAATGACAATTGCTGATTATTATGAAAGACAAAGCGAACTTAGAGTAGCTGAGAGTAGTGGCATTGATGATGGCAGCTCTTGTACACGCGGTAATAAGATGTTCATAAAAATTATTCTTTATTCTCAGAAACTTAATGTACTATTCTACCAACCTTTTCTGTAGGACTTGTCTCAAAGATACGAGCTGTGAGTCAAGCATGCAGTAATGTGTTGAGCACCTGGATGTGTTCCACTTTAGATCATTACGCCACTACTTATGGTGACAAAGGCTGGGGATGTGGATATAGAAATTTACAAATGTTAATTTCGTCGCTTTTACAACATACAGGGTATAATGAGTTAGTTTATAAAGCGTGGAGTTCTGGCCTGGGTAGTGGTAGTTCTACTAAAAACCCGCTCCGAAGTTCTATACCATCTATCTCTAGACTTCAAAAGATGATAGAGTTTGCTTGGGCTCAAGGTTTTGATACTCAAGGAGCAGAACAGTTAGGTGGTAAATTGGTGAACACTAGGAAATGGATTGGTCCCACGGAAGTATTCATATTGTTATCTAGTTTGAGAATAAAGTATGTATTACAATCTCTGTAGTTTGTTTTGAGTATCTTATTATACAATAATATGTTTAAATGTACAGATGTCAGCTGGTAGATTTTTATACACCAACTAATGCTGATGGTGGACATCCGGAGATGTTTAATTGGGTTTTACAATATTTTCAGCGGTGTGATGATTTTAAACCACCCCTTTATCTACAACATCAAGGTAAATATTTGGAAGAAGGTAGAAGAATTGAAAGAGCATTGGTGGTAAAATTTTGTCTCTGTTCTCAGGTCATAGTAGAACAATAATAGGAGTAGAACAATTAAGAGATGGTTCAATAACCATGTTAGTACTTGACCCAAGCCATAGTCCAGCACAAATGGCACAGTTTAACAGTACAAGTAGTGCACTAGGTGCAATGCGTTTGGTCCGAAAATCGATCGCCGCGATGAAAGCAAGGCAATATCAAGTCGTTGCAGTTATTGGTATCATGGAAACTGAATTAGAATATCAAGTAAGAAATACCTCTACATTTTCTCTATAATTGATTGCACATACAACTTATCGTATAATGAATAAACGATGTTATTTGAACATTTTTCAGCAAAGCAAAGTATTACGTTGGATCCGTGTACCCCAAGATAGGTGAGATTTGCTAACCCGAAAAGGAATTAAATTTTGTGGAAAGATAATAGACTGCCTCAAACCAATTTTGTCCAGCATCCTTAAAGTTACGTGACCGCAATGTTCTAGGTTTTATCATTAAGAGAATTTGCTCCACCGTAGTAATTGCAAAAATATTATTTAAACAATATATTCTTGCATCTCTTAGCCGTCATAAATCGACTGGCTCCTCAAATTCTGTATATCCTAAGCCTGCGTCGCGGTTCAGAGTTTTGGAGCTGAAAACTAAATTATAAAAAAGAAAAGAACCGCAGAAGTTGTAATTTCTAAAAAACAAGTGTTTAAATGTCGCGCGTATTGATCTTCTTTTTTTAAAATCCATACTCAGCTCTGGAGATACTATATTACGATGTGTGCTTGGGAAAGAAAGTTTCAGTGACGGAGTATCTAACGGATAGAATTAATTCGATCGCCATTTCTTGTCCACAATGTTCTGCTCAATTTTCGTCGCACCGAACAGGCTGTGCTAATTTTTAGTCGACCAATCGTCCTATGCCAGTCGGTTGCATCAGCGAAAAAAGCCATGGCAGAGCTTGGAAAACAAGACTTTCGTAGCTGTGATGCTGTTATCGATTTTACGCTAATCAATCACCGATTATAAATATTTTTGAAGGCACTCCATAAGGTCGATACATTGCAGAAAGCAACATTGTCCGCGCTTACCTTCTCTCACCTGTACTCTACATTTTTAATAAACTTTGTTGTCAAAATGTTGTCAATTTTTAGTCAATAAAAGATACCAATAATAATACGACGCGTACTACGATAAAACTTTTATATATCGTTACAAGCAAGTTAATCTCTAATATATTTTCATTACAGTTGCTTTACATATTTCTGGGGTGTCTACAAGAATGAATGATGTATTTCCATATATTAAATATATGTTTATCTATATATACATATACACATACTTGCACAGTCTACGTTATATTACATTTCACTCACTCATACATAAAGTACAACTACTTTCATACTAAGTATATATTCTATTTAATTATTCAATTAATTTAAGGCTACCCCTACATTAGCGTGTAAGTTTAATGCAATGCTGTGACCGAAAAAAAGGAGAAAGGAAGTAACTACAGTCCATTTACTTGTTACTTATATTATGTGTTTAAAAAAGTTGTAATTGAGTAAATGATTATTATTATTATTAACATTATTATAATTATTATATTTATTATATTTCATAAATTGTACTGATACATATATATAAGATCTATTTATTCTAGTTAATCATACAAGACCATCGAAAAGTTTGATGTTTATTATTGTAAAAATGTGGTATTATGTTACAATAATTTTAATAACTTATGCACTAATCAGATGAAAAATTTGTCTTTCTGCTCAGTAGGACCAGATGCAATAATTATGACTGAGAGCAGAGGTATATGATAATTAATGCCTGTATCGAATTTCAGTGTATGCGGATTAAAAATATGTTTATCATTTTGGAGTGTTCAGGCAAATCAAGCTGTGGAATTGTTGCGCAAGTGTGAAAAAAGGACTTTATATTAATCACATGTCAAATTAAAATATATGCTTTGTTAGAATTCCCATTTTATGAGTAATGTTTCATACCCAATATTTATTCTAAATATATTAGTTTTAAAAACTAAACTACATTTATCATAATATACAAATTTGCATAATTTCATAAGCAATAAATAATACATTTAATAGAAACTAAATAATGTGTTTATTTGATAAATGAAAAAATATTCCAAGTAATGTACTCATTTTCACAAGTACTAAATTCATCACAAAATGTGACATAAATACATTAATATATAACTAAAACCTGAGCTCATTTATTTAAATCTACTAAAATATAACTGCATGTATTTAAATTTATATATTGAATCCCAGGGACCTCATACAAGCTTTGTGTGCTTCTATTAAATGCTGGCAATTTTCTTCTCCTTTAGTGATAATGCTGAAAAATTAAACATTTAATGTTATCTAACAAAATTAACAGAATAGATAAAAAGGTTATACTACAAAATATGTAAAGAAACAAATTGTTTCAAAACTTTTAATACTCAATTTCTTTATAGAATTATTATAATAAATTCGTTAGCAAATTATAGTAACTGTCATGAGTTGTTCTTTGAAAATACTAAAATTATAAATGTTTGCCTACCATTCATCTCTGATATTTTTTGTTTCTGGACAAGCACAACAAGGCTTGAGTGGTTTATCAGATTTTTGTGCCTTATCCGACTGTGCTTTCAAACTTGAGTTACTCATTGAATTACCCATTATTATTTTATAAAAAGATAAATTTTTATAAACTTCACTCTATAATTACATCCAGTTTTATACCAGTTCACATATGTGCACGTGCGATCATGCATCTATAGTTACTTCAGCGCCATCAAGCGGTGAATTTCAGTAAAATTTAAATGAGCAAGCTAATAAAACGTTCGAATTTGTTGCGCTTCCTTATACAATTGTAATTACAATTTGGAGTAATAATTAATATACAAACTCATTGGTAACAGCTAAAGGTACTTGTGTCAATTAATATATGCAAACTTTCTGTCATCCATCGATCAATTTGCTTTGTATTTAGATTCATGTCCCGATGTTCGGATTCAAATCATTGAATAACTTAACATTAACTATTTATCCTTTACTTTTCACTTTATAGTATTTTCATCTGATCTTATCTGGTTTAAATTTAATGAAGAATGTTTTCTGTTTACAAATTACAGTGACACTGCTGCTGATTCATATTTTTTATTTTACAATGCACGGGATAATGGGGTAACTTTCCCTTGCCCGATTGTCTAATCCGCCATTAGAAATATCGAAGAAGAATCGCCATTAGTTCAGTGACCTTTGGAGTGATAAGACATGTCATAAGAGCTCCGCATATTTTCGGGTATATTATTCTTTTTATTGACATTTAGAGTCTTTTAATTGATTTTAATAGTTACTATTATCTACTTACTATTACTATTAATACTTTCGCCTTTTTCTTAAAAAGTTTTATTGCAACCGAGCTTTTTTCCTATTCTCGTCCGGTACCAGTTGGTAGTCATTGATTTCTATATTATACTATTTACGATTCATTGTATTCCAGATGCAGTTTCTTTTTTGTAATTATATTATAAGACCAGAATAATGATTTCAATACATTCATTCTAAATCCGTCTTTCATTTTCAATTTAGATTTTTAGCTCCGTACCATTCGAACCAGTCGCTATGCTACTGCGCAAAAGACGCCATGACAACTTGCTAACATATTGGAGGGAAATTTAATTTGAATATTGCAGTCAATTGTCTGTGATAAAAATTAGGTAACATTCACCATATATGTTTTTATTATCGTCTCTATTGAATTGTCATTAGTTGAAAGTATAAAATGCAATTTGTTTATGAGTTAACATTAAAATTGAAAATTTTAATTAAATTAAATATTGTCTACTTTGTAATAAGTTTCTGATTATATTTCTCTTTTTGTTTAGTCAATCAAGTGTCCTAAATCCACGAGGTCTACTTCGGTGGCAACAGTATCTTCTTCAGGATTCCGATAAGACGCACAACTTGCAAATTGTATTCTACAATCGGTGAGTTGCATGTTTTTTTCTTCCTCTGTTCACTCATCATGTCGCAGGACGAAAGAACTAAAAAATCTAACTTACATAGAGAGAGAGAGTTACACACAATTAATTTCTTAAACGCGGAAGAACTCTCTAGGTTATACACTAATAATCTAGAATTTTTATGTTTATAAATTTAATTGATAATGATAGCTTAGTTTTGCCAGACGATTTCAGGGTCTGGTACGTAAATGTTTAGAGTGTGAATGTTGTTTTGAGCTAAGGTGCCGGGGACGTCCCGGGACGCCTCCCTAGGGTTAGGCTACTTTGCACCCTAGTGTTGTGCAAGAATCGTGGAGCGAGTGTGTTGGCGAGAATGTATCTTTTGCCATTTTTTTTATATATAGGAGTAGGTAGGTAGGTAATTTACCTTTCCGAGTGTGAGTGTGTATTTCATATTTAAGCAGGTAGATTTAAAAGATCACGATCTTTTATCGAGTATGTCTCCATTTCATGTGACAACTTGCTACTGAAATAAATAATTTGAGCAAATCCGATTTCGATTCCGATTCTTCAAATTTGATGGCTTTGAGAAAGTTGTCATCGCGGTCGCGATCGGTATTCGGTCCCCTCGAAACAATCGACCTGTTCAATTGCATAGAACTCGGTTAGCAACTTTCTAGCTGCTAGTCGGTCACAACCGAACAGTTTCAGGGTTTCAGCGATCGCGAACCACCGAAGAGGCCCGACAAACTGTTTCTCAAGAGGACACCTATTAATGACTGCATCTTCGAATGTGGGGTCAGTTTTGTTACTACTTTGTCACTGTACTCGCTTGTAGTTTTGAATTTTTGTATTTTTATGATTTGTGTTAATTAAACACTCTGGTGTTAATGATCAGGTACCTGCTTAGTTACTTTTAAAATATAGGTGCGTAGAGTTACATTAACGTTGCGAATGTTGAAGCATCCTACGTGGTTGCTCTCGGGAGTTTCTTTTATTAATATTATGTAACACCTTACGTGTTACATCCTTAAATTGATTGTTAATTAAAGTTAACTTAGTATTGCAAAAGAGAAAACTTTGTTCTTGCTTTCATTTGTGAATATTCAAGTAGATAACTAAATCTATTATTATTAAATATAAGCTATAATGAATAGGAAATTAGTTTTAGTCCGCGTTAGATAGAAACGTTTCTTTTCATAAATACAAATAATTTTACCGAAAGTAGAATCAGATAAAATAGAGTAAAACGAAGTGATTAGGGCGGGTCTTCACTCGCAGCAACCTCCATCTGGTGAGACCTGAGTAATCAATTTATTTCATATAAAATTAATAATAATTAGAAATCATTAGTAATAATTAATAGTAAATTAATAATAACCAGTAATAATTTGTGATTTGACTACTATTTACCAATTAATGAAATTACTGACGTTAGTACCAGTTATAAATTAATAAAATTATTAATTTTATAATAAATAATTTGAGCGAATTGGCCGTGATCGAGGAAATCACTGTTATCGGTGAAATTATCCTTATCTCTTGATGATTTATCTTCTAAGTCAGTAAATATTCTTGTACCATAAAAATTCTACAATTTACCGACAGAGTTCCATTGACTTTGTAGGTAAAAGTGTTATCTATTTCTCTTCAAATTTCTAAATCAATTTCATTCTTTATCGTCAGATGGCGACATCAATATTAAAGAAGAGGTATGTGTAAATATAATTAAAATATTATTAATCTATTTATAAGATCAATTTTATAATAAAAATACGTACATATTTCTGTTAAAGGTTCATATATAGTAATTTGTTGCGCTTGTGATTAATAGTTATTTTACACTTTATTTACATAAATTTGTATCTCATTCGATTTACAGAATAAATAATCAGTAGTACATCAAGCTAAAAAAGTTCATAGTTCCTTACAACAATAATATTTATAGAACAATATTACCTAACATATTTTTTACTTATCCAAGTCTATATAAAAATTTATAGAATGTTATACAGCGAAATTTGAAAGCGTTCTAAACTTAATCGTGCTACAACTTCTTTGGCACTGTAACATTTGCAATATAATAATTGAGCTACTTCATTAGAGTCGAGAGATGATTCGAATTTTGTACTTTATTTTTTGATTTCCACACGAAACAGAAGCGAATCGATCATTTAGCTGTATAATAATTCGTCTTCACAAATGGCATTTTTGTTACGGTAGCTTTATAAGTCTTTCCTCGAACTTCAACCAATACTCCTCCACCACTGTGAGCCAGTTCTGGAGGCATGTATCCCATAGCAATAGGTCGTCCGAGGGTTGGACTAGGGCTACCAGAAGTCACTTTGCCTACACGTTCTCCTTCTGGGGTCAGTATGGCCGCTCCCTCTCTAGCTGGTGGACCTTGCCCCATCATCAGACCAATACGTTTCTTCTGAGTACCTGATTTAATCTGTGATAAAATTACTTGAGCACCAGGGAAATTTTTCTCTTCTCTTCTCCGTTTTGCTGAAACGATATAAGACATGGATTTTTATTCTTTCCTATATTCTAGTTAATGAATGGTTTATTAATAGAAGTTGATAATAAAAGTTATACAGATCAAATGGTAACGACAGGGTTGGACCTTGCCGTTTAAGCAACCATATTATACATAAAACAATACACAAACATTATGACACCAAGATTTATTGCTATTTATAGTAAGTATACCAATTCTGTATATATACCAACCTACTAGCCAAGTAAGTCCAGCTTCAACAGGTGTGGTTTCTTCATCGATATCGTGTCCATATAAGCAAAGGCCTGCCTCTAGTCTATTAGAGTTTCATAAATTAGAATGCAATTATTTACAAAGTCTTTGTTTTATATATACGTCTTTTGCCAATCTTACCTCAAAGTATCCCTAGCCCCCAAACCAGCCAGCTTTGTATCAGGCATTTCCAAAATTTTCTGAACTACAGTCTGCGCGACTTCCACTGGCATTGATATCTCAAAACCGTCTTCTCCAGTGTATCCGCAGCGAGACACCCTTATACGGCTTTCCAATATCTCAGTTTCCACGCTGTTCATAAATTTCAGCTGCTTCAAATCATTTTTCACCAACGTTTGGAGAACAGTTTCTGCTGTTGGCCCTTGTAAGGCTACCAAACTTTGCTCTAGAGGATTTAAGAATTCTAGATCTACCGATTTCCCTTGAGATTTGAAGTCTTCCTGGAATAACGATATATTGAAATTAGTTTCGTTTGTTCACTTAATTCACTTAACGTATCAATTCAATGTACATTATTTTCTGCCACATTTAAATACTAAAAATAGAAGCTGAAAATCTTCATAATAAAATTGATTAATTTTTAGTACTAATATTAACTAAAAAAATATCAAATTCTTTTTTCTTTCAAATTATTTACCTGCTTCTGGCGCAGCAACTGTGTATCTTCATCTCTTCTCCCAGCATTAGACACCACGAAGTATTTATCCTCATCATCTTTCGTGATGATGAGGTCATCGAGAATACCCCCATTTTCATTAGTAAACACTGTTAGTACCATACAACCTTTCTTCAGATTCTTCAAGTCACTGGTGGTCAAAGACTCCAAAAAATCAGTAGCATTGCTTCCAAACACTCGTGTCTGCATCATGTGGCCCACGTCGAATAGCGACGCGAACGTCCTTGTATGCTGATGAGACGCTGCTATCGCGTCCTGATACTGAACCGGCAGCAGCCATCCCGAGAAATTGACTATTTTGCCTAAAAAACGAAGTTCATGAGTTCTCATTGTTCGAATAAATTTCCCAACACACCACATTCTATTCTAACAACAACTCAATTAATCATTGTTTAGTTACTCAAAGAGTTACTCCAAGCTAGCTATCTATTAGTGTAAGACTTCGGAAGTATTAACAACATAATTTCTATTTCGAACATTTCATATTCAGCTACTGCGAGTGAAGTTCCACTCTTTATCCTCTGCCCGTTTCTAACAACCTTCCGAAGTAATTATCTCGCCGCAGAGGTTGCAAAATTTCTCTTAGCCTCAAGTTTCTAAAATAACTCAAGCAGTAATTTTCAGTGAAAACGTGACTGTTTCGAATATTATTCTTACTTGTTAGATAGGGGGAACAGTTACCTCGGTTTTCCACGTGCAGGTCGTACAAGCAGGTCTTCCTGGCCTCCGATGCCGGTTTCGCGGCCGTTGACGACGAACGGCGGCCCTCGGCGCCATTTAATCGTTCAACGGAATCGATCAAACATCTCGGGCCACTCGGTTTCGAGGTGATCCCCGAAATCGCGGACAGCCCGGACGATTCCCGGACATTTCCGCAGAGCGTCTCGAGGCAGCTCTCGAAGCACTCGAGGCAAACCGATTTCCCGCGTAAGCCGAAGCGAAACATCGTCCTTTCTCGGTATCGTTTCGTCCAGTACTGTCTCGAAATTGCTGGTCTTGAGCACCGGCATCATTCCCTCTCTCGATGACCCCGCTGACATTACTCGCAGACTCGGATTCACTGTCGAATATCAGTCACTACGTGACACAAACCTGATTTAGCTGTTCGATGGATAAGCAGTCACGAGATTGTCTACTATTTTTATGTTGAGTGTGTCCGGCCAGATAATTGGTGGAAAATGAAATCACGTTAACATAAGAAATCGAGATAGTGTTGCCACTTGGAGCGATTTTGATTATTTCCATTTTTTGATGGTATATAATTGTCTTTTTTATTCTCTCTTTTGACGTAGTTTGCATGGGAATATTTAATCTTTCACTGTGATTAGATAAAGGTCTGTAAGAAACGTTGTTAAACATGTTAACAGGTAATACATTATTTCATTTCGATTATTAAACTCGTGAAAGTGTTTCTATAGGAAATAATTATGTGAAGTTAAGTATTCCAAACGTTCTTTGTGATTTTCTATCTTTTGCAGAAACAAAATAAAGATCTGATAAGGTTTCGGGTATTTTTTAGTAATGCACCACAACTTGTTGACCGTACGACTCAATGTTCGTCACATTTGCAACGGCAGAAGAATAACAGGGATAGTAAGGCGGTAAATAGATATTTTTCCCGCGCGATAGAAGCCATGAATTGTTGGTTATCATTATTTTCGTGCGTAAGAGAGGTCAGCATACGGTTTAAGTAGGAAGCGATAAGACAGCTGTGGAATAATATTGGTGGACGTTGTGCACGCTCGCGCGATGCTTGAGGGAGAGGTGATAATAGTCACGAGACTGCGAACACATCAGATGCTTATTAAATTTTTATTGTACCACGTAATAATAATATTAATAATAATTAATAATAATAATAATAATTAATAATAATAATAATAATAAAGATAATAGTAATAATCGCAATAATCATCATCGCAATAATAAATCGTGATAATAATGTCAATAATAAATGTTAATAATAATAACTAATAATAATAATAATAATAATCATTCGTCGTCGTAATAATAGCAATAGTTTTTCGTTTACTAATAATGACAATTCATCGTCGTCGGTAATAATCCAATGACAAACG